GCTCCGGACACCGGCTCTCTCTCCAGATGCAGCGACTGAGAGCGTTCAGGCGTCCACAGGTGTCTGCTCTGTCTGCGCTTTTCCTTCATCCATTTTCTGTGGTTGCCCTGACTGGACCTTTCCTTCCAGTGTTTGGCACAGGCACTACCTTGCCTTTTGCATACCATAGATTCAATTTTCTTGCTGTATCCATGTGCTTGTGGAGAAAGCCTGGGGCCTTCTCATTTCCCCTCCCCTGAAACACTAAACTGATGCTTCATATGGAACAAAGAGAGGAAATTCCCGGTCTCAGCAATACATACTTAACTAAATTCCTGGTTCAGTTAATATGTTCATTACAATGCTATGGCTGTATAGGCATGATATTTTCAGGTAAATTTAACACTCAGACAAAAGTGTGCTACCTCCACTGCACTTAAGGGAGAATAGCTATGAATGGTCTGAGATGGACACAATCACTTTCACTTGGAAGTCTCTCTTTTTTTTTAATACTCATCCAAGGATATTTTTCCCATTGATTGTTAGAGGAAGAGTAGAAGAGAGAAGGGAGGGCACAGAGAGGGAGTGAGGGAGGGAGAGAGAGAGAGACAGAGACAGACAGACACAGATGTGGGACACATCACTGGTTGCCTCCTGTACATGATCTGACAGGGGCAGGAGATTGAACCTGCAACTGAGACATGTGTCCTTCACCAGGAATCCAACCTGTGACCCTTTGGTCTGCGGGCTGATGCTCTAACCCAGTGGTTCTCAACCTTCCTAATGCCGCAACCCTTTAATACAGTTCCTCATGTTGTGGTGACCCCCAACCATAAAATTATTTTTGTTGTTACTTCATAACTGTAATTTTGCTACTGTTATGAATTGTAATGTAAATATCTGATATGCAGGATGTATTTTCATTGTTACAAATTGAACATAATTAAAGCATAGTGATTAATCACAAAAACAGTATGTAATTATATATGCGTTTTTCCAACGGTCTTAGGCGACCACTGTGGAAGGGTCGTTTGACCCCCAAAGGGGTCTCGACCCACAGGTTGAGAACTGCTGCACTAACCATTGAGAAAACCAGCCATGATTCTCTGGGAAGTCTCTTTATCCATCAGTTGCTTTTGAGGATGCTTCACATGCCTTGAGCAATGTTTGCCCTAGTTCAGTCATAGCAGCGGTTCCCCTTCTTGGCTACATACTTGTATCACTCAAGGAACAGATGTTAAAAAGTACAGATGCCTGAGCCCCATTTGAAGACTTTTTGACTTATTCTACTGTGGTTCGGTCTGACCCTGGACTTTTTATTAGCCACCAGGGGAGCCCAACATGCAGACAAAGTTAAGAACCATTGAGTGAAATATCCTACAAATACAGCTGTATGGGAGACAGGAAAGAAGGTATGCTTTCTCTTTTCTGGAATATCCATTTGGATTTTTCAAGGTTTGTTTTAGGACACTAAGCAGTAAACTTTGTCCCATTTAGACATCATGTGATGAAACACACAATGGCAAAGATAGGGTCAGAAACCTTTAAAGAAGGCTAAGGTTGTCACAACTGGCACTATCCTACCATAGGGCTTCTCTGCCTCTCAGCCAATTCCTTGCCCCACCAAATGAATGTGAGTCTCTATGGTGTGAGGTTGGGATGGAGTAAAGCTGATGGAAGATAGGAATAGACTATAAGGTTGCCAACTTTCTACATCCTGGTAAGATCTCTCAACCATTCTTAACTTAGGGCACCTCATCAGTCAGTCAATGTGCTTTCACAGAGGTCCTACTATGGGCCAGGACATGTGGAACGTTGGGAATAATGTTGTGAACAGCATGGACTCCGTCTTCCACCTGCTCATGGTGACATCTTGCGTCCCCCATGGTATGAAGTACATAGTCTTCCATGAACTCTTAAAAATTTCAAGCATCCCAGCTGTGGTGGCTCAGTGGATTGAGTGTCATCCCATGGACCAAGAGGGCCCAGGTTCATTCCTAGTCTGGGCACAAGCCCGAGTTGCGGGCTCGATCCCCAGTAAAGGGTGTGCAGGAGGAAGCCAATCAATGATTCACTCTCCTCATTAATGTTTCTATCTCTCTATCCCTCCCTCTCCTTCCTATCTAAAATCAATAAAAACATATTTTTTAAAAATTGTAAGCAAATGTTATGAGTTAATTTATATCACACAAGGCCCCTGGTAGACTTTACTATGCGGGATCTTCTATCACAGATGAAACTGTCGGAAGACACAGGCCTATGTGGTGCTTCAGGTAACAACAAGAGTGAAGACAGGGTTACACCCAGTCACCAAGCTTCCCTGATCTTTCTCATGATTATAGTCTCCCACACAAGACTGAGAGATCTAAAAAACATAACACAGACCCTAATAGAAATGGTAACACAAAGAGTGGTTCAGGACAGAAGATCTGTGGAATTGTGTGGAACCAGGAAAGATCTTGGAGCCCTGGGAGGTGAGGGCAGCTTGGAAAACCTCTGGGAGGTCGGACGGAGGACCTTGGAAAGAGCAGAGTCCAGTGTAAGAAAAAGGAGAAATCCCAAATGCATGACTGTCATCAGAAGCCTCTGAGATGGTCCCTCAGGGATGAGGGCAGAGTGATGTGGGCTCCATGTAGGTGCTTCTGTCTCATGGACGATTCCTTTGCAGGGCTGTGTGCTGGCCAAGACCTAAGAAGAGATGGTGAGTGTTTCTAAAGGAAAGCCTTCCTTCTCCTTCACTCCAAATTCCCCTCATCCCTTCTCTTTCTTCAGAACAGCAGGTGAGTAAATCAAATCCAGCCTGGACTCCGCTTCCTTCCAGGGTCATTTCCCAGGCCCTCCATCTGTGCCTGGCCCAGCTCCGTGCCTCCTGCCAACAGTGATGTGACACTGCGATGCTCCACTCCTGCTGAGGAGGTCGACTTCAGGGACATCAAGTTTGTTCTCAGAAAGAACAATGCTTCTTTCAAGTTCTCTCCTGATTCCCCAGGGGGCCTGGCAGAGTTTCACCTCAGTGATGTAAAACTCAGTGACGCTGGAGAGTACACCTGTGACTACAGGACAGGGAGCCCCACCAGAAGGTCACCGCCCAGTGACGTCCTTCTACTACTGGTGACAGGTGAGGACGGGTGCTCAGAATGACACACCATCTCCCTAGGACAGGGATGACGAGGGACCCAGAGAATGAGAGAGGAGCAAGGGTCTCACCTCCAGTGTAGATGGGAGGTGAGATGGAGAAGGACAGGAACAGAGCTGGGGACCCTGCCCTCATCCAGGGCTTGTAGGAGGCACATCTCCTTCCTGGAGTCAGAGCAGAAAGAGGGTGAGGCCAGGTGTCTGTCACTTCCCACACTCCCTGGGTACCATGCCAGGACAACAAGCCTGAGCGGGGACCCAAGGCTTCTGCCCATGACTTCTGAGCTTCCTTCTCTTACAGGATTTTTACCTAAACCTTCCCTTCATGCCCGCCCAGGGCGGAAGGTGACTGCAGGAGAAAACGTGACTCTGCAGTGCCAGAAGCCCAGTCATGTGACAGAACCTCACATGTTTGCTCTACTGAAGAAAGGAACCTCAACACCCATAAGGCTCCAGAGTGCAGTAGGAATGGAGACAGACTTCTTCCTTCCAAGTGTGACAGGCAGTGACACTGGGGCCTACAGCTGTGTGTACCACCAACCAAGGGCTCCTTTCTGGGCCTCAGAGCCCAGTGATCACCTTTCGATCTGGGTGACAGGTAAGGTTTCTGCAAGATTTTGAGAACTTGGATTCCCAGTTGGGCCACGTGCCTGGGTTGTGGTCCGATCCCCAGTAGAGGGCTTGTGGAAGGCGGCAGAGCGATGGTTCTCTCTTATCACCCATGTGTCTACTTCTCTCACTCTCTTTCCCTTCCTCACTGAAATAAAAATATATATATATATATATTTAAAAAAGAACTTTAAAAAGGGATGTCATCTTCTGCTTCTCACTTCCTAATTTCCACTCCCTTGCCCTTCTTTGTTCTGAATTCTTAATTTCTCATGCTGTTCTTCACAATTACCAGCCCTGCCATTATCACCATTCCTCCCACCATTCTCTCCATCTCATAAAGTTTTGGTCGCTTTTAACAAGAGTATTACCCAGAATTCTCCTTTGTTCTCAGAATGTGGCATTCCACAGCCTCCTGCTTGATGGTGATGATGCAATGTGTTGTGTTTTTTTAAAAATCTCCTGATACTTATGGCAAAATTATCTGTGGTTACCTTGTTTCCTGCTATGGCACACTTTGTGTTAGCTCTGTATGCTGCATTTTCTGCTGCTGAATCTTCTAAAGTGGTCGGTGAATGTCTTATAATTGATCGAGGTCCATATGGCCAGCCCTGAGAGGTGCCCAGAGCTCCCCGGTTCCTGGGAAGCAGGGTCGTTACCCATTTCGCCCCATGGATCCTGCCTTCAGGGAACATTGTCGGTGATGGGTTTAGACATGAACTTTGCCCGAGTTGGGATGGGTGCGATGGGTGCGATGGGGGATGTAAATGCAGACTTCTCTTCAGGAAGGAGGACCAATGACAAGATTGAGCCACTCGTGACTGCAGCTAAACACATGACGTCATGATGCTTAGCTACTAAGTTCACTGAGCTCGCTGCTGGTGTAAGTTTTGTGCTGTGAGGACTGGTGTTGATGCAGCTGCTGAATTTCAGTGCTGACAGGCAACTCTGATTCTCTGTGCATCTTGCACACAAATTCCTAACAAAAGGAGGGAGGAGGGGAAAAGGAAATGCAGGGAGGTGGAAATGAGATGAAAGCAAATAAATGAGAAAGGTAAGGCAGAGAAAATATAAAAAGATGACACACTAGTACAACTCTCCTAACACTCCCCATTTGGTTCCCAGTGATTAGAACTATAATGTAGTACAGCTGAGCACTGCCCAGGACACACATGGGGGCACGTGAAGGTCACCTCCGCTAGAACCATTGAGAAGCAGGGACATCAGTGGGGATCCTCTTCTCCCTTTCAGATGCCCCTGGTGCCACATCAATAGATTACACCACGGGTAACCTCATCCGACTGGGACTGTCTGCCCTAATTACGGTTCTTATGGTGGCTTTCCTGGTGGAAGCCTGGTGGAGCCAGAGGAGGTCTCCAAGTGGGTCCAGGTAAAACACTGAACACTTCTCTCTGTCATGGGCTGTTGGAGTGATACGAGGGTCCCCTCCAAACCCACCCATTGCGATTTATGTTTCGCATTATGGCGCAGATGGAATGTTCCTCATCCGGTGTGACCGTTCTGTTCATTGTAAGGACATTTAATATCTCTTTTCCTTTCCTTTCAAACAGCAATTAAAGTGCCAATCGTTGTGGAAGAAGCAGAGGAGCAGGTACTATCCACAATTCCTACTGAAACCTCCCTGTATGGAGAGGCTGGGGAGAGGGATGCTTCTTCCTGGCTGAGAACCTGTTTTGGAGGCTGCGAGAATCCATATTCTTCCTTTTGGTTCCTCCCTGGGTCCCAGGCCCCACCTCGTGTACCCACAGGTCCCCCAGCTGCCCCGGAGTTGGGAGGGGGAGATGATGTTACCTGGTCCAGCAGGACCTGCTGAGTCTTTACAGCTGGGAAACCTACCTTCCCAGCCAGCCCAGGACAAGACGCTGACTTCCTTCTTCCTGTGCGCTTCACCGGGGCCCTATGGCAGGACTGAGCGGACTCACCTAACACATTTTGGAGGACTTGACAAATACTTAAAACTTCAGCATCTGACCGGGTAGCAAGTAGTTTCATGTGTGGGAACTGTTCTTCCTTGAAAACTGGGGAAAGATGGGTTCCTATATAGTATTTATTAGTGCTTCCCTTCCACTCTATCTTCTGCTCTTACCAGCAGCTGGTCAAATGTTGAAACTACTGTATTTATCATGTCTTTTAAATTTTATTTCATATATTCTCATAATTTTACCTAATTCAGGAGAATTCCAGTCTATATTATAGTGTCAATTTGCTCTTGAGTTGTCCCAGTATTCCTGGTTCTGGTGTAAAAAGTCATTGAGTATATTTTCATTTTCAAGATCTGTTGTTTCTTGTTTGATATCTTGTTCATTTTCATAAATGCTCCCTCTTATTTTAGAACTATTATCTCCTCTCTCATAACTCCGGACATAGGCTATGAAAATCACATTCTGATGATAATAAAAGTGATTCTCTGAGACAGAAGTTATTTGCTTCCCCTGCTCCCTTCACTGTGTTGGGCCCATCAGATCATGGAGGAGTCAGCTCCTCTCTCACCCTCATTACAGCTGAGTCCCTCTTCTCCTGGCTGCTGCACTGTGTGTACCATGAGGTGTGTGTGTGGGGGGGGGGGGGGAGTTCTGCCCACTGCACTTCTCAGGGTGCTGGGGATGACTAGGACAACTTCTGGGCTGTGTACCTGTTGCTGAACTTCTCACTGTGGGGCTCTAGGTAACCTCAGGCATCAGGAGAAGTTTTCTGTTTCTCCACTCAATAACTAAAACTCATGCCTCGTGCTGAGAATAAAGCCTCTGGCTGCTATCTGGTCA